GGATAGGCTCCGCCCCCTTATGCCCTTTGACCCCGAATTCCATTAGCAATGCAGGACATCCATGGATGGATGGATGGATGGATGGATGGAGTTTTGGCTTCTAACACAGTCGGCACAGTAGCAATTCAACAGAAATTCTGTTGCATGTGCACAAATATGTTTAACTTAGTGATAACGGCCTTTTTGAATTCCAACATTAGCTATGAGTTTGACTTTTGATTTTAAATTTGGCTTTGTAGCTTTACAAATCAAGGCGGTTGATTTGGACATGTGTAAAAATAATCTAAATCTAATCCCATTCTTTTAGGAAGCTGCTTGACCACTATTAAAAAGCAAAATGGCCGCTGGTAAAAAGGACCTCCTGAAACTCTCTGTGCTGCTTCAAAGTGACAAATTGGCTTCTAACTACGGCTGCTTTTTTAAAAGCAGTTTGTCTGTGAAATGATGACAGTTTAAAGGCAACTACTTATTGTATAGTCCTACAGATTTTCAACAGGTTGGTTTTGATGCGTTTATCAGCGTGTAGCATTCATTTGCTAACATATTGCTCAATCTGATTTATAGGTTCCAGTCACATTAAAAAGTCCACTTTTTAGTTTTAGGTTAAAGACAACATCTTACAGACCAAGTCTTAAAAGCAGTCATGTGAAATAGATAATATAATAGCATTTCTTTTTCTTTTTTTCCTTAACGCCAGACCACTACCGATTTAAGAAAAGCCAAGACGACTTTATTTCTAGAGCACTTTTTTTAAAAACTGGCACTGACCAAGGTGCTGAATAACAAGAATAATTCAAATCAATAAAAAAAAGCTGGGGGAATAAACAAGTAAAATACAACAAGAAAATACAAAAGACATAGAAATAACATAGACATAAGCAAAACCAACAAGTTCTATCGTGTCAAATGCCAAATAGAAGAATTTTCACTCAAATGACAATCGTAGCTATTCTTTGTCACAGTCCAATCTTAATAAAGTTTTAAATTATGCACCTAAAATACTTCCATTGCCTTGAGGAGATTTGACACTTTTCAGGACTTTTGTTTGAGTTTTAAACAATTGATGGCTGATGTTAAGGGATGACTGTGTGATTTACAGTTAGAAGAGAAAAGCCTAATAAAAAAAAAACATTTGGGTTTATAAAGACCCATTATTTGGCTAAAATTCATCTTTTTCTTTCAAAGAAAGAACATTGTTTTTCACACTAAAGAGCTATGATGACCAAGAGTCCACTTTTCATCCTTCTGATTCATTTATTTCTCAAATGACGGATGACATGAAAGCCATTTATTGGGAATTTAAAAAACAGCGCGCGATTCAAGCACATTTGCAGATTTCAACATGGTTTCCCATAAAGCCACCACATCCTTTCCTCCTAAAGCAGAAACGCAGCTGAGGGAAAAGGAGGTGGGGCACTGGAGTCTTTTCCTCTAAAATCCTTCTGTTTTTCCCTCATCTGAAACAAGCCTCTGCTCAGGTTTTCCCAGAGAAAGAGAGGAATAAACTATTTTTGAGACCTTTTACTGTCTTTTTATGTCTCCATCCTATTTATCCATGGTTAAACAAGGGCAAATATAAACATTTTCTGTGTTTTGCTCAGGAAAAATACCAATAGCGACTTTTTTGCGTGTCTCTTTTGGTGCTTTAGATCGTTCCGATGCAAACAAACTTTGTGATTGTGTATCTGCGCCACCATTAATCAGCTTGTTGTGTATACACATTGTGTCCTTTGTCCTGATCTCACTAAGACTTTGGAGACACTGACAATTTGCCAACTTTGCGGATGTGATAATGGAACATAGTTCCTCTAATAGTCATTGAAGGCATCTCACATAGCTTAATAAAAAGCAGCTTTTTTAGCACTAGTATTTGGGAGAGCATCAACTTGGTTGCTATAGTAACAGTACATATAGTATTTAGTTAACTTATTCTCCTTACTGACAGGTTTTGTTTTTGTTTTTTGTTACAACAAAATCTTTTGTAGCTTGCCAGCTTTTTTGATGTGATAACGGAACATATTTCCTATAATAGTCATTGAAGGCATCCCCCATAGCTTAATACAACACATCTCAATTCAATTCAATCTTATTTATATAGCTCCAAATCCCAACAACAGTTATCTCCCAGCTTTCCAAACAGAGCAGGTCAGACCAACTCTGAGTTATTTACAGAGGAACAACAATTTCCACCATGAGCAAGCACTAGGCGACACAGGCAAGGAAAAACTTCCTTGAACGTCTTTTTGAGCACATTTTACAAAGGAGAGCTATTCATAAACTGGTCATTTTTTGTCATTTTCACCATGGTTTTTATATATGATAAGGACATCATAACCTTTTTAATGTATTTTTGATCAAGTTTTGATCTATCAGACGATGGAAGTTGAATGGTATAATGCTGGATTTCCAAGTATACCTGGGGGCCATTTTCCTTTCTGCAAATGGTGGAATCTGTCCCTGCAGCAGGTCTCATCTTCTTTGAGAGTTTCTTTACAATAATTGCTGGAATGAACAGCAGAAGAGCTGCTCATTACAAGAAATTTGGTGCTTAGAGAGTAATAAAATGAGCCCAATACTATGGAACCACAGTAGATGTCGTATTTCTCCACAAACGGTTGTCAGTGTTGCATCACAACTGCGTCACAAAACCATTCAGATTCCATATAAATAGATCATACTATTCAACATTAATTTTTTTTTAAAAAGTTCAGGAATTGTTGTAATTCTGTCCTTAGATTGGAATGATTTCCACTGAAAGTACACCAGTGATGGTAAAATGTGAGATGAAGTGTTGGTGTAGAGCCAGTAAGGCTATCCAAAAACAAAACCCACCCAAAAATCTTTGGTTTTACTCCTATACCATCACTCCACATTTTCTCTCTGGGTGGCATGAAGGCAACATCTGTTATTTTTCAAACCCTTGTTGCTTGGGAACAAAGTCATTGGCCATAATATCACATACAAAAACTACCATTACCAATATTCTTTATTTCAAATGTCAAAATTTGGTCTCCCACTGAAAAACAGCTTCTCTTTTTCAGCTGAACAACTTGCATATCTTTTATTTTCTTTAGCTTAGTCAGTATTTCACCATCAATCAAGTCGTAAACCGCAAAGGCTATTTTCTCCTTGTGTCATGTCTCACTAAAAGGACGTTTTAATTCCTCACAATCAGACAGTCAGTCCACAAGAAGCTGTAAAAAGCGCCACACCGTCTGGATACTGGGAGTTGAAAGGGTTTCCTACCTGGGGCTTACTCAAACCTCCCGAAAAGCGCCACCTAACAGCCAATCACAGCCAATCACAGCCAATCACAGCCAATCACTGACACTTCCCACCGTGTCAAAATACCCACGATCTTTTAACGCTATGGTGGGGACGGCCACCTCCCCCCATTCTCATACAAAAAGCCAGGAAATAAACCAAAACACCAAGGCCTTTATCCCTTTACCACTCATTTGTCTTAATGTATCGATGAATATATTCTCCTTTATTTGAATTTTAATCTAAAGTGACTCCATTAAGTAAAATGATCAAAATTGGTCTTTTATTTTGGTAAATAAGAACTCTACAAATTTAAATCTATTAGGTGTTTTTTAACACTTTAATTTTAGAGTTATTTCAAGTCCTTATAGAATTTTCCTGTTAGAGTATGGCAACACTTTGTTGATTTTATATTATCATACAAGGAAAAACGGAAAATAATTCCCACTCTACAGCCGATCACAAATAAAATGAGAAGAGAAACTGAACAAAGGAAACTATATCGACATATATCTTTAGATTCCACCTAACTTATCACTTGTTTTAAAGGTTGGATGTCACTATATATATGAAAGAACCAAATAATTTCATCCTTAAGGAAGAGTTCATGTTATATTCACTTTTTTAATTATATTTCACAACCTAATGAATCCAAAACCTTTAGGCCACCTCTCATATTTATATATTATAACGTGAACATTTAACATTATCTCCTTTAGTTCTTCTTGTTTATTAAGCTCCTGTAAAATATTGTTCGTTATAGTATGTTAAAAAATTGTTTTCCTTATTAAATCAAGGCGTGGTATTTGTATTTTGCCTCCAAAATCAGGATTCAGGAGTAAAATCAAGCTGTTGGTAACTTGATCAATAATATGTCTCAAAGGATTTAATTGAATTCAGTATCTGTATCCTGTCTTTAGCCCTAAACATTGTTTTCACAGTAAAATGGTCGGAAAAGTAGAGAAAAATAAATCACAACCGAAATATTTGTGATCCATTTGGGCAAAACTTATGTTCACTCCTCTTACACCATGATAGTCCCTTAATACAACATTTAGTTTGTCTTTACTGAAATAGAAAATACTGAAGGAATTTTGAACGAAATGATTTATTTGCTCTATTTCCGCATATTCCAAACAGCCCAATCCCATATAAGATGACTGTAATCAAAATGAGAGACACACAGACCCAAAATCTATGAGCGATAGCATGGAAACACACGTCTAGTCAACCACAACCAGCTTTAGCATTTCGGTTGCATCAGCAAAGGAAAGATCGATCTAAACAGCTACCGACTGTTTAGCCAAGGAAAAGGAAATATAAAAAATTCAGTCGCAGTCAAAAAATCGACAAAAATCACCCTCTGAAACATCAGATAATCACCATTTCTCAAATAAAAATGCCTAACCTTGCTTTGTAATGGACACGAAACAGTGTTTAATAGAGGTTTTAGCTAATGGGTAAGGATTCAGAAGAGAAATCAGAGCATTGAGATGTTTAAAGCGAATAAAAAAGGAGGAAAAATGGGGGGGAAGCTTACCTGGGGGACACAGGCAGCCATGGGGAGCTTCCCTCGCCTCCCGATGCTTCGGCAGGTGAGCGGCTAACTTCTGTACAAAAACAAGACAAAAAAAAGGGAATAAAAAACTCAAAATGGCTTTTTCACATCGCACGACATAGTAACAAAAACCAACAACAATCGGAACCATTAACAGAAGGATTCATTGAAAAATTTATCCTAAATGGTTCTGCTCCAGGTTTCTGCCTGTTAAAGGAAGTTTTTCCTTGCCTGTGTCGCCTAGTGCTTGCTCATGGTGGGAATTGTTGGGTTTCTGTAGTTAACTTCAGAGTAGGTCTGACCTGCTCTGTTTGGAAAGATAACTGTTGTTGTGATGTGGAGCTATAGAAATAAAATAGAATTTAATTGAATTAAATCTGTTACAATAGCATATATAAAAAGAAAAAACTCCCAAATTATACTGAGATTCTATAATAATCAAACTAGAATCTAAGTAGTATTTGTTTAAGCAACTAGAACAAAACTGATATCCATCCATTATCATTGGATAGATTGGAGTCTATCCCAGCAGCCAATGGGGAGAGGCAGGAGAACATGCAGACTCCACCCAGAAAGGTCCTGGTTCCCCCGGGACTCCAACCCAGAACCCTCTGGTCCTGGTTCCCCTGGGATTCCAACCCAGAACCCTCTGGTAGAAAGGTTTCTCATCTGATCAAGAATGAAGCTCATTTAACTCCTAAATCTAATGAGAACTATTAGTCATCTGGGCTATCTAACGGTTAGCTGAGAAGCTAATATTCAACAATATTTATATTCCAACCAATCAGGCTGCGTCTCAGGTTTTTTGTTGTTCTCAAAATGCTCCAATATTGTAGATTTTAAGCGTGTCATACACATAGATCCATGTAAATTTGATGTGTTTAAGACCCATGTTTCACTGTTTGGTATGAGCCGTGTTTGTTTTTAGTTTAAACTTTGTTTGAAGCGAGACTAAGACGTTTCAAACCTTAAAAGCACAGAAGAAAACCAATGAAGACCGTGGGAATAAGTCCAGTTAAATGTATGATCTGCGTTCCTAATTTAGTTAGAAGAAGCACTAAAACATACTCCTAGAAATTTGAAGGCGACATAATTCGAACAATGAATTCCATCTGAGATCTGAGATCTTTTGCAAGTATGTATATATACGGCCAAACTGTCATTAATTAGATTTATAGAATTACTCACCTTTTTCCGATAATCATAAACTATCTAAACTATGGGCAGACAGAAGAATCTGGATTCTACATGAAGAAAAACTGGAATTTAAGGAGCACTTTAAAGCGTTTATTAAAATGTCCTATTCCATATTCATCTAACTGAATAATTTGAATATTGTTATGGACAAATTGCATTGTTCTTTTCTTGTTAGAATTCACTCTCTAACAGGCTTTTTGTTTGTTTTCGCCTAATATCAGTATTTTGATATTTAGGACAACTTTTACTTGTAACATTTTTCTGTCAGACCATATGTTAAGAATTTAATCTTATTTAGTTTTTTTTCCTGAAGCTTGGGTATTTATTTGAAATATATATTTTCTTTCTGGCATCTGCTTAAAAAGCATTTTTCACAGTTAAATATATATATATATATTTATATTCTAATCAACTAAATATCCAAATCACATTGTTTAACATTCATATCTCTCTTTACTTAAATGGACAATGTTAAATGGAAAACATAGACAATGTTGTGTCGTGTTGTGTGTTGAGACTTTTTGTTGGAAAATAGCAACAAACTGGCATTCGACTTTCCATCCAGATTAAAAAACTCAACTTCCTTTACTGAAATGAGTATTTTAATGTTGCCAAACAAATACAGAATGTGTGTTTTTCTGAGAGTTCAGCTGATTTTCAGAAAACGCTTTATATATTATATTATATTACTCTCTATATGCTTTATAAAGATAGATATATTTAACCTCCTGAGCTTTTATCTGGTTCTGCTTTGTTCCCGATATCTGGATCAGTAGGAACTGATAAGTTTAATAACTAGACTTTGTCCTGGTACAGGTATAGTTTTCTTCATAAAGGTTTAAAATGTGTATTTATGTATTTATTTAAATTGTTTCTCTTCAAATTCTAATTACACAATAATAATAACTTGATTAGTGTAAACTGTCTAAAAACATTTTCCTTTAGATTTCAAACAATAGTGTTATGTCTGACAACTGCTATGACAAGAGGTCAAAGGTCAAAGAATCAGAATCAGAAATACTTTAATAATCCCAGGGGGATAAAAAGATAAATAATAATAATAATAATAATAATAATAATAATAATAATAATAATAATAAAATAAAATAAAATAAATAATAAAATTAAATTAAATTAAATTAAAATTAAGATAAAAAACTAAAATTAAATAAAATAAAATAAAATTAAAATAAATAATCCCAGAGGGAAATGATTTTTGTTACTGAACAGGCTCTCAGGAGGATACTGATGTGTTTGGGCTTCTTGTTACAGTTCCACTGCTGCTGTTCCCGTTTAAATCCACTAAATCCACCACACACTGCTAGCATACGACCAGCAAAAGGACACTGGGACGGTCAGAGTTCCAGTTCGGTCTCATGTTCAGCAGAGCTGAAACGTGTGTGTTTGCCTGTGTGTGGGCTGCGCGCGTGTGTGTGTGTGTGTGTGTGTGTGTGTGTGTGTGTGTGTGTGTGTCACAGGCTGTGTTCTGACACAACGCAGAGGTGTTTCCGCCACTTCCACTTCAGAGCACCGTTTATAGCCTTTAAGATTAGTCTGTGTG